TTTTTTCTCCCCCGTCTCTTTCTATTTCTTTCCTTTTTGTTCCCCTGTTCTTAAACAGCAGCAGGTTTCTGAGGTTGCTAGGTAACTGGGATGGGTTAGTTGACGATGGCTGGGATGGAGGGGTATTTGGCAGGCAGTGAGAGAAGTGTGGGGCATGTAGCAGGCTGTGGCATATGTGTGGGGAAATTGGCAGGCCCCGGTGGATGTGTAGTGTATGTTGCAACAACTGATAATTGTGGAGTGTCTAGTAGGCACTGGTCTGGTAGGTCTGGGAGGTGTGCAGTATGTTGTGGTGGAAGTATGTGGTATTTGGAAAACTTTGGTAGATGGGTGGGGTATTCTGGTAGATGTGTGAGGTATTTTGGTAGCCTCTGGTAGAGCTTTAAGGTATTTGGTAGGCTTTGTTGGATATATAGGGTGGAGGTAGAAGGGTAGAGTATTTGGTTGGCTTTGTTCGAGGTGTAGAGTATTTGGTTGGCTTTGTTGGAGGTATAGAGTATTTGGTAGGCTTTGTTGGAGGTGTAGAGTATTTGGTAGGCTTTGTTGGAGGTGTAGAGTATTTGGTAGGCTTTGTTGGAGGTGTAGAGTATTTGATAAGCTTTTTTGGAGATGTACGCTGGAGGTGTAGAGTATTTGGTAGGCTTTGGTGGAGGTGTAGTGTATTTGGTAAGCTTTGTTGGAGATGTAGGGTGGGGGTGTAGAGTATTTGATATGCATTGGTGGGGATGTGGGGTATTTGGTAAGCTTTGTTGGAGATGTATAATGCAGATGGAGGTGTAGAGTATTTGGTAGGCTTTGGTGGAGATATAGAGTATTTGGTAGGCTTTGTTGTGGATGTAGGGTGTTTGGTAAGCTTTGTCAGAGATGTAGGGTGGAGGTGGAAGTGTAGAGTATTTTGTAAGCTTTGGTTGAGATGTAGAATATTTGGAATACTCTGGTTGAGGTATTTGGTACTTAGAATGTTACATAGGGTGCAGTTCTTAAATGGCAACATTGGCTGAAATGGAGATATTCAGTATCAGTGTAGGGCATTTGTCAGACTGTGTTGGATATGTAGTATTTGGCAGTCTATGGTGGACATATGAGTGTTACTGGGCAGCTATGGTGAAGGTTCTCAATGTAGAGTTTGAAGCAAGGTCAAAGCCCTAGAGACTCCAAAGACCAATAATAATACACAAAACAGAGCAGAAATACACACACGTTCTTGCCTACAGCAGAGTAAATGAGTAATCAGCAGTCCAGACTGGAATATTAATCCTTTTGGTCATCCCCTCTGTAGATAATCTGTATTTTCAGATGCTCTGCTTGTTATGCCAGAGCAGCAGTAATCCAACCCAACTGGATACTGTGCATTTTACTGTCTCTCAAGAATGTGGCCTCTTTCTCAAATTAAGCTCAGCAAAGACTCAGCAAAGATGCGCAGTGTGCAGATCTGAGCTTATGCATATAATTGGACTATCCTTCTTCTGAAAGCCCAGGTCACACTGAACCAACGTTCTCCAAACACCAGTATTTTCCACCAAACGCCAATATTCTACGCCAAACACATCATTCTACCAATCATTCTCCGAGACCTACATTTTTCCCCATCAAACATCAGTCTTCTTCACCAAACACCCACTTTCTCCACCAAATGCCATTATTCCCTGCCAAACAACTGTCTTACTCAACAAACATCAACGTTCCACAACAAAACACCAGCATTCTCTACCAAATACCAACACTGCCCAACAGACACTGACACATTCACCACCAATCATCTTCTTCACCACCAAGCATCATGTTCTGTAAATTAACTGACCAGCCAGATAAACCAGTATGTATTTAGACTCCCAACAATCTCTCCCACCCACTGTTTGGGTTTGCTGGAGAATGCAGGATTGGTGTGCTCTGAGCTCAATGCAGGCATGGACAGTGTTCATGTACAGCAAGCATGTTCTCCTGTGCTGTAGCTATTAGAGCAGCCTTTAGGACCGGTCATTAGTTGAGATAAATGAGTGTGTAGTGCTGGGATGAGGCTGCCAATGCGGCCGCTAAAGAGTGCTGGTGTGTCAGAGGCCATTAGGAGACTGACAGCAGCATGACTGACCCTGCCACTCCACAGCCCAACACAGCTGATCCTCAGCCTGCCTGACAGCTGTCACTTACAAACACCACCAGCAGACTCTCACAGCTGATTCTGCCCATAGATGCCCTGTTGTGAGCTTTATATACACCACGTGCAGTCATACACATACAAACATATGCATACAGACACATAACTCACATACAAACAGAGGCATATAAACAGAAAAATCATAAACAGAAATATACATGAACACAGTATATACTACATACTAGTGAAGAACTTGTAGGTCTTCAGAGAAGGCCTAATGATTTCTGGCAACTTGACAATACATGTCTGTAATTTGGCTCATTTTCATTTAATACAGTCTTCATCCTTTTTGTATTTAAACTCTGCAATTATTATATTAATGTTTTCATTCCATTGTTAAGTTTAGGGTGGTAACACAAGGGCTAAGGTCTTGAACCACCAAACTGAAAATTGTCCAGTTAGATTTTTTTTTCCTGTGGTATCTAGGCAGATACAGCCAAGCAAGCTTTCCAATTGGTTAGGACTTGAGGAGCTGAACTGAAGGCTTTAGATTATACATTATATTAATTACCAATATAATTTGGAACTGACAGTGGAATCACCCAATCATGTTTTGATTGGATGGGAGCATTTTCATGATAAAAACATCACTCTAGGCCTTTTTGGAAGTTCTAGATACAGTGCTGACTGTGAATATGAGTGTCAGCTTTCAGCTAAAGCTAAGGTTTCAGTCAGTTGTTAGAAATGGCAACTCTGTGCCAGAGCTGTTTATTGAAAGAGTCACTCTTAAAGCCCTATTTAGATGGGATTAGTTTTCCATGTGGTGGGGTAAGGGCAGTTTACCTGTCTGTAATGTTTTTGACCACTGGATATGAAATATCAGTTAAAATGACAGAGATGGGAGTGGTCACTCAATTTACATACTGCATTTACTCTAGAAAAGAGTAGAAAAGTTGTTAAAACATTTAATTTTAGCCGTTATTTAGTTTACCCTGAACATTTGTCTTACTGTCGTAAGTGAAGGCAGTGTGCTGTTTCACTGCATAAAATCAGATTTTAGCCACCAAGAATACAAGTAAACACAATGTAGAGTGCCTCCATTCTTAAAAAATAAAATAAAGTCATTTTCCGTGGAATACAATGGTGTTTTTACCAACGTGTCAGTTTGTACAGGATTAATATAACCTGAGGTAATTTCTGCGGCTCAATATATGGTAAAAAAAGGTCGACATCACTGAGAAATGTCGGTAAAATTTACGTTACCCCACCTCCTCATATAAAACTAATCCCATCGGAATAGGGCTTAAAACCTCTAAATACAAGGTTATATACATGTCAATGCCGATTACACTTCAAATAAAATATATGAATTGTCTTTTACGAGCTTCAAATGCCTGTTTAATCTAGAATGGCCAAAACATGTTCACGTGTACTCATGTTAGCTTAGAGCTAATGTACTATTAGAAATCTTATAGGGACACTAGAGTTTTGACCTTTATAACCTGAACTGAAGGCCTGGCTCTGATAGTCACCCAAGAGTCTAATAGTCAAACTGCTGCATACAAATGCATGTGTGCACACTCATTGTCCCTGTGTTGTCCTCATCGTCTCCAGTGTCCTGTCCCGGTAAATGTGAGTACGTCCTCCTGAAGTGGTTCTCATTGTGTGTGTGTGTGTGTGTGTGTGTGTGTGTGTGTGTGTGCGCGTGCGTGTGTGTGTGTGTGTGTGTGTGTCATCTGGGGCCACCTGCTTCTGATCCCTCTGTGTGTGGTGGCATGCAGAAAGAGTGACCACAGCCTGCAGCTGCCTGTGCCCTCCCACAGCCCTGACCCAAATCCACCCCGTTATCGTCCACTCATACCACTGACCATAGGGGACCTTTCAAATGAGACTCAAGAGACGTTGAGGCTATTGTTACTCCACAGTGCTCTCAAACGGTCCATTACGTTTTCGCCCTGTTGGCACAGTGCATAATGATGTCATGCTACAAGTGGATGTGTGTTTATTTCCTTCACAGGCAGGAATGTTTTAACAGAATATGGAAATGTGTTTGATTTCACTGATTTCACAGTCTGTGCTGGATGTGTGCAGTAGACGCTCCAAGGTCATGTTCATTATGGGAGTTTACTCTAGCATGGCTCGTTTCTTGGCATCCTGGTAAACATCTTAGACATCATGAGCAAAAATCATGCTGTTACAAAAGTATGGTTAAAATTCAGACTTCAAAATTTCTGCTGCTACTGTTGTTATGGTCAGAAACAACAGAAGCAAGTCTATGTGAGCTTATTCAACAACGAAATGTGGTATAAAGCACGTGCATGATGATTTAGATATGCAGTTTGCACCATACTAATCAGTGCTTCTGTTACTTGTTAGCTACATTAACCTCATAGTAAAGTCAGTCCTGCTCCCACCCGCTCCCGGAAGATTTCATCCCACTCCCGCAGAAAATCGGAATCATTTGTCCTACACCCACCTGCAACCGAAACATTTTGTCCCGCAAAGTTCTGTCAAGGCAGATTGACATCTAATTTCGGACATAGTCTATTCACAAATACATTATCCTAAATTATGCTAAAATAACATGGCAGTCATGGTCATCTGGCTCGCTGTGAAGTAACTTCACCAAACGGCATTTATTCCCATTAAACACAATGGGAAACACTGAAACTTAGTCCCGTGCCGCAAGATATTGTGGCAGGTCCTGCGGGAATCTGCTTCTGTACAAACTAAAGAACTTCACACATCAAATATGTTTTTTGCATATATACATATATTACATTTGGAGTAACATGAAGATAATTTTATTCTTTTTTTTTCACCAAACTACTTCTTTACAAGTTTAAACACTCTTTGTCCGTTTGGTTTGGCTGACTCTGCTGTTCATTCTTCTTTCTACCTGCAGTCAATCCGGGAGGTGACAGGCTATGTGCTGGTGGCTCTGAACCAGTTTGACTATCTGCCGCTGGAGAACCTGCGGATCATCCGTGGCACGCGACTTTATGAGGATCGCTACGCGCTTGCCATCTTCCTCAACTACCGGCGTGACGGAAACTTTGGCCTGCGGCAGCTCGGCCTCAAGAACCTAACAGGTACGGCCTCACAAATGTGCTCCAAAGCAGAGAGGCCCGGAAGAAATGTGATTTCGTTACCCCCAAGTAAAAGGCTCAAATACTAAGGTGATGGGACTGTGTGAATAGCAAGGTTTCCAGTCAGGAGCAACTTCATTTGAATATGCTCAGGAACTCATTCCCGGGGGGAAAAAGAAACAAACTTACGATTAGGTAAATCAGGCATGTCAAACTGGGGACCTTCCAGGCCAAAGTGCTGCAGGATTAGTGTTTAGTCTTATTTAATGCTCTGAATTCAGTTCATGAAGGCCTTGATAATCAGCTGATGAGCTGAATCAGGTGTGTTTAATGAGGCAGTGCGCTGAAGTCTACAGAGTTTTGGCCCTTGAGGACTGGAGCCTAACACATGTGAGGTAGATTGTTCCGGTGCAGAGTTGGGGGGGATTAACTATGTTGTCTTGAACGAAGCCTCTGCTTGTCTGAAGCCTTCAGCTGGTACCGCTCCTCAATCTTTACTGACAGTTTCTGTTGAAGCCAGTTTTGTGAAACATCAGGCTTATGGAAACACAATTTAGCAATTTATTCACTCTTCTAGATGATGATAAAGACATTAGGCACTGGGACATCACCACTAAGTGCACTGGAAGGTAATCAGAACTATATGTTGAGGTTTTTTAGCTATTTTTAGAATTTCTTAGTAAAGATAACATGAACATCTTGGTAACTAATGCCAATGTTATCAGCATGTGTGCGAGCACCATTCTGTTTCTGTTCCACCCATCATAAATTGAAGGGACACTCTGTGACCATTGCCATATCTGTTGTAAACATGCTGACTCACATCCTACAGCAGTGCTGCAGTGGTCTCTGGAGTGATCTGGAGATGTTTTGAAAAATGTGGAGCATTGAGGGAAAGTTCTTTAAAATGTTATTTGCTTATTTATTTATTTATTTCCCCCCCCCCCACCCCCTAAGTGGCTGATGCAGAAGGAAAGCCTGATTCAGACATTTCTACTAGGAAGCCGAATATCACATCTGTATTTATTGCCCTCTGCATCAGTAGCAGTGCCACTTTAGAATAAGACTACCCTTTATGTGCTTATAAACACTTTAAAAATCATTAATAAGCAGTCATAACACATTACTAATGTTAAGATTAGATGAGCTGATATATCTGATAAATATGAATGTGGGATGAACAGTTTAACATGAGGTTTAATGGTATAAGTGAATGTGGGTTCACTATTAGACAGGTCACTGTTGCCCTTTTTATTTGTGTTGTAACTGCTTATTAATGATTTTAATGTGTTATTGACCTAATTAATAACTGTTAATAAACACATTTTTAACCACTCATAAGGGCAGTAGTGACCTGTTGTTTGCCTAATAGTGAAGCCACATTCATTTATACTGTTTAATCTCACATTTTGATGTTTACTGTTCTTCGTCTTTTCCATCAGTCACCATTAAACTTCATCACGCATTCCTATTCATCAGATATAACAGCTGACCTTTATATCAATGTGTTTTCACTGCTTATTAAGTATTTTTGACCTAACAAATAACCATTAATAAACTAATTTTAAACCATTCGTAAACCCTTTATAAGGGTAGTCTTATTGTACAGTGGTACCTCAATGGCTAAGTTAGCAGTCTGGATTAGTGTGGGGGAGATTCTCAATGGTTGTATGATGTATTTCCATAAGGCATGCTGGGTATTGTAGTGAGAAAATAGTGAGGGGATAAGCACAGATAGAATCATGAAAAAAACAACTCTGTGAATTCTACTGTATAACAGTCTATAACAATAAAGCATATTATATGCTCATAAATGCCTCCGTTAAACCATTTAAATACTATTTTCTAGGAAATTTAATCCTTTACATCTGAAAACTTGGCATTTCGGAGGAAGGAATTTCTGTAGAAGGCCACCTGTTGGTGGGGTGGCTTAAGGCCTCAGGAGTAAATAAGTCTTTGAATGTGCTGAAAACGCATTAATATGTATTTGATAAGTGATTGAATTTTTTTCCTGAAGTTAGGGCTGTGTGATTGCGGAGGGCTGAAAGGCAGCCTGTGCGACGCGGCTGAATAATTGCGGCTGGAATTAGAGCTATAAAATCCAGGGCTTGTTTTGGAGGGAAATGGCAGAAGCTTGTTTAGAGTGACAAGGCAAGGTCAAACTGCCGGCGCAGCTCAAACAGCCCCGGCAGAAGGTGAGGCCTTTTGTGTTTTTAAAAAGTGCAGGTTTCTGAGTTACGCTGTTATGCCGAGGCGTAGAGCGGTGTTAAAACAGGTTTAATTAGATCCTGCTTGCACCGGCACACTCTCTGATTAGATTATTCGGGACTTATAATGTGCTCGGTGCTTGTGTAATGTGTGCGGTGCTTGTCATTTTCTTCAAACGAATCACGTATCTGCTCAGACATGACCCTGCATCAATAAGCGGACATTAGAGAACGTACGATTGCCATTAAAATCCCCTGTAACTAAATACTAAATTATTCTCAGCAATGCATCAGTGTTGTTGCATAGAGATCTGAGTAGAAGCTATTCATCTCCAAAGTGCTTCTAAACCTGAGGAAAGAAATATAAATGCAATTATTTTTGGGTAGGTGAATGTGATTGTGTGTTGGCAGAGGACAGATAGTAATAAAACTCTGCAAACAGAGCCACACGGCTTCACAACGAGTAAACATCCCTTTTCGTCTGCGTGTGTAAGTGACCCCGCATTTATCCAGTCGCTGAAGTGGCACAATATAAACCTACTTTGATTCAAGGCCTTGAATTTTACACTAGCTGAGAGTAACCTTGCTCTAATGTCAGACTCTTGGCTGCGTGCCTTTTTCCACAGCCGCTGACTTTCAGCCCTGAAAACACCAGGAATACAGCTGTGCTTCTGACTAGACTGGGGGATGAGGTGGTCCTTTTGGGCCATAAGGTAGCAAAGGTATTTAAAGATATTTGACAAACTCTTGTCTGCATTCTAAACATTTGTTATTGTTAAAGGCTTCCTGAACTGAACAGCAACAGCCTTAAGGCTTGAAGCACTTGTTGCTCTTTTAAGGTGATTCCCAAGCTTGGCTCTGGAGAGCCCCTGCTCTGCACACTGGAAGAGTTTAATGCCTCTAAAAGCTACATCATTTACAGTCATTACTTGAAATGGTTACTAACGCATTGTGGATGCCTGAGACATTGTTTCATGGTGGTTTTGAGATAACATTTTTTGTCTAAAGTGCATTTTAAAACCAATTAATGTTGGAGAGATACATGCACAGCATTATAAGCCCAAATAGTCCCCAAAGAAAACTAAATAATGAATAAAATGAATAAAATGGTACATTTGCACTGTTGACATTGCAACCCAGGGCCATCAGTAGACCCAATTTACTGGGGCACACTTTTAAAGTTTCTTGTCTTAACCTTGATTGTCTGACACTACATCTCCCAGAATGCCCCAGCATCTTTCCTTTGAACGTATTGAGCTTCCATGAAGTCAGGCTGTTTGGCAAGTGTCTTCAGTATGGAGCTTACTGTAGGTGGACATAAGAGCTATCCGGACGGGATTGATTTTTGTATGAAGAAGTAGAGTAATGTAATTTTACCGGCATTTCTCAGTGAATATTATTCCTGTCTGAATGTGTCAAGTCAGTATTGATTCCGATTTCTTTTACCTTCGTAGAAATAAGTGTATATTAATCCTGTGCAAATGGACACTATTGAAAATGCTCTTATATTCTAAGGAAAAGGAGTTTTTTAAATATAAGGTCACTCAAAGAAGAGTCTTCCTGTGTTCTCTTTGGCTAAATTCAAGCTGCTGATCAAGTAGCCCCTCCCATCTCTGTACTGAGATTCCTTATCCTATGCGAATTGACCATAAACATTACAGACGTCCTGTGATAAACTGGAATTAACCCTCTAATCCCATCTGAATAGTGCTACAGCCATGTTCGAGTAGACCTGTTCAACAGCATAGACATACAAATGTGTGAATGTTAATGAATTTAACAGCAGGTCGATCACAGATCAGCTTGAGTAATGCTAGCATTTATCTTAAGGCTTCCTGCTTGTAAAAAATAAGGATTACACTACTGAATCAAAGGTACTGGATATGTTAGCAACTTATGTAGTCTAACTGAATTTAATACACCCATAATATTTGTATTTCATTTGGAAATAAAAGGAACTTTTTCGGTCAAAATATAAAAGTATTCAGTCAAAATATGTGCAGATTTCCATTTTTAATGCAGACTGCTTTGCCCCTATAACTGACAAGCGAAGAGATTGGGCTGTGCCCCCTCTTAATTTAGACCAATGGTCTCCAGCCCTGGTCCTGGAGAGATACTTAACTGCAGTTCCTGGTACCAACCACAGTTTGCCACACCTGCTCAGCTAATTAACCTCTTCCCAAGTCCCTGACTGGCTGGATCAGATATATTAGAGTTAAGTAAGGGGTGGGCAGCGTATTGGATACAGGTGGGAGGTAAACTCTCTGCAGCAAGGTAGCTCTCCAAAATTTAGTACGTCCCCCAGCACAACCAGCAGTCTAGAAATGCTCCTGACATGACCCCTGGTTCCTATTACCACCACTGTAAAGAAATCTGTGCCTGTAAGATTATCTACAGTTAACCATTTCACATCAAACCACTCTGTGTTTACATCTCAATTGTTAAATTATGAAGAAATATATTAAAAAATGGTGGAACTTTGCTTCAACACAAAACCCTGAAGTAGAGCGAGTCAAAAGATTGTTGGCGTTACTCTTTGAGTCGTAACCAAGAAAAAGAAACAGCTGTGGAGATACTGAAAAAACACCAATTGACCTGTTTTGGAGGACCTGAAAGTGCAAGATAGGGTGTAGGGTTGCAAGAGGACCAGGGCTGGCAACCTCAGCTCTGCAGAATCAAAGAAGCAGTGCTAGTCTTCTTCCGAGTGTGGATCGAGCAATCTCAGCGAAAGTGATGATGTGAACGTATTAGAGAGGAAACTGTGCAGAGAGTTGAATCCTCAGCAAAACAGCCAAT